CCTTTCATTAGCAATCTTAACTCAATAAATGTTCAGGACAGTATTATTCAAGGATGCTCATACAAGTTCCTAGGTTCAACATTTTAGTTAATTACTCTAGAACAAAGCATTAAGAACAACCTATTGATGAATACCACAACTTAGCAATCTATAGTTGGGGCTAATCTCTCTAACCTATTTAAACCCTAAACCTAACAAGTGGATCTATTCAGACATGAAGTTTGTCACATAAATAATAGAAAGAATAGATAGATAGAATAGATATAATATGAAAACCAAAGGAGTTCCAGGAGGACTATGATGAATTTCCTCCCTTCCCTCCTAGAACTAAGAACAATCAATCAAAGAAAAGCTTAGCTGTCAACAACGGCTTACAAAACACATAAATAGGATTTTTGGTCGTCCAAGGGCATTCTGGTAATTTTTGGTAACTCCTAGGACTAAATCAGTCATAAAATATGATCAGCCCGCTTTCTGGGATCAATATCGATCGATTCCAAGAGTGCTGCATCGATTGATTTTCCTTTATCTTCTCAACACCTTCCTCTCACGAGACAGACTGACCACTCTTCAGTAAAACGAGTATAACTTCTGCTACAGGTTTCTGATTGACCTAAAACCGGTGGAATTGCAAAGCTAACTCCAATCTCTATCTTTTGTCAAAAGATGGGATCAATCTAACGATGGTAAGGTCTCCATCCATATCTAAACAGCTGATGTGTATGTGCAGTTCTGCACTTAAACGTTTCCAAAGACACCAAAATCACCATATTTCTCCAAAACGTACATGAACCTGTAAATACTCTAAAAAATCTCTATAATATAATAAATAGTTATTAAAACACTCATATACCATGCTAAAATTGGGTCAAAATTATGGTATATCACATCATTACCAAAATCGATGAGAGTAGATATATTCTTATACTTAACAGGTTCATAATACTTGTATTCATCAATCAAAGAAAGATACAACATGTGTGTTGCCATAACGCAGACTACCCCAACTATTGCCATGAAAGCTCTTCCAAGAAATAAGGAAGAATACCTGGCTACCTAGGATATCCATCACATGGAAGTATACTGGTACAAGGGCATTATGAATCTGTATTGGAACATCTCTCACCATTCCTCCTGAATTCACTTGGGAGTAATGTGAATGAATCACTTGAAGGCTCAACTTTCAGGTTGAGCTACTCTGCCATAGATCTTGGCATTATTCTCACTAATGATCCAGTGTCACAGAAGGCATTAAGAAATTTGTGCCCCTTTATGTAGCATGGAATCACGAACTTTCATGGGTCACTTCTTTTTTTTTATATTGACTCTTTGCTTCATCTTCTCTCTGATGTGGTTGAACATTATCTCTCTGTCCCCATCAGTCTTCTTGGTTTCCCTGAAAAACATCCACAATATGTGAGTATAATATGCTTCACCAAAAGGAGTATTGAAAGGAATCTTTACAACTCTTTTGGTAAGCCATCCATCTCTTTTCATTCGCTTCTCTGCGAAGATATTTTGGAATATTTTGCTTCCTTCTGGAACGTCTTTATGTTGTACCATCATCCATCAGGGATTCTGAAGTGTCTGAAGTCAGATGCTTCTGAAAGGTATGGAAAGTCTGTGTGTTTCTGGTTTCCTTCTCTTAATCTCTCTTTGGCATCTATTATGAATATATAAGTTTGAAATGATTTCCTGAGATGCAGAGGGTTAAGTACATTACCGATGACTCCACTATTCTAATTCAAAGGAATGATCACACAAAGATGGAAGCAAGGGATAGGTACATTACTGATGACCCCATTATCAACTATACTTTGTCATAACAAAAAAAAAAATATCAAAAATGAGATGGCAAGATGGACTGTAACAACATCATTGTCCATTGTGTTTGAAATCCAAAAAAATTAAGAGAAGAGGGGAAAATGAAGAAGAAAGGGATCAGAGAAGACTGCATGTGTGTTCAGATACTTGCAGGGGTGAGAGTCCACATATCCTTTGATCGTTACTCACAAGGTAAAGCCTGCACTTTTATTTTTATGCAAGAAATGAGGTCAGTAGAGGGGTGAGTCAAGCTATGATTTTCTAAGTTGTTGGGGATTTATAGTTGCTAAGCTAGGATAAGGTATACAAAGTTTCTTTGAAATTGGCATAGTAGGATGTGGTTGCAGCATAGTAGGAATGATAGAAATACGGGAAAAGGGCCTATTCCTACCCAAACAATTTCAATTGTGCCAAATACAACCCGAACAAACATCGAGTGCCAAATACGACCTGAACTACGTTATAATGCAAAAATACTACATGAACTTTTTGAAACGTGCCTAAACCTACATTGATCGTAATAGAAGTTAATGAACCGTTAAAATGATAACGAACCGGGTTTTGTCACTATTTAAAACATACACATCAACCACTAAACTAAAGCAGTTTTTAAAAAATGTCCATATATAAATTATTTCAACTATTTACAAAATGTCCATATATAAATTATTTTAAAAATAAAACTTAATGGTAATTTATTTTATTTTGGTAAAGTATATTCAGCTTATATTAATTTTAAGAAGCAAAAGAAATTAGTATTTATAAGTTTATTAAATATGTTAATATATTAATAAGAGTCAAAAATAATAATAAATAAAGTTTTAATTAGAGAAGATGAAAAAGTATAAAAGCATATATAATTGCAAATTTGTAGTACTATTTAAAAAAATTGCTTTAGTCTAGTGGTTGATATGTCTGTTTTAAATAGTGACAATGCCCGAGTTCGAATCCCGGAATCTTCATATTTTTTAAAAAATAATGAAATCGAAACGACATTGTTTTATCAATTTTAACGGTTGACTAACTTCTGTTACGGTCAATGTAGGTTTAGGCACGTTTTAAAAAGTTCATGTAGTATTTTTGAATTATAACGTAGTTCAGGTCGTATTTGGCACTGGATGTTTGTTCGGGTTGTATTTGGCACGATTGAATTTGTTTGGGTAGGAATAGACCCGACGTCGTTTTATCATTTTAACGGTTGACTAACTTCTGTTACGGTCAATGTAGGTTTAGGCACGTTTTAAAAAGTTCAGGTAGTATTTGTGAATTATAACATAGTTCAGGTTGTATTTGACACTGAATGTTTGTTCGGGTTGTATTTGGCACGATTGAAATTGTTTGGGTAGGAATAGGCCATTTTCCCATAGAAATACTATAGACTTTATGTGAGCCCACTTTTTAAAACCTCGTTCACATGTCACCTTGTTTTACTTGAGGACAAGCATAAGGTTAAGTATGGGGGAGTTGATAAACCTTATTATTTACCAGTTTTAGTCCATGTTATGGATCTCATTTGGAGTCTATCATATATGTATTGGCTATGTTTTAGATTAATTGCAGGTCCATGTACGTTTTGGAGTTATGTGAAGTACATGGTGTATTTTGGATGAAGAAACCCGTAGCTGACAAGAATCAACTAAGTCAGCGTCGACATATGAGATCGACAACGATCGACAAACACACACTGGCGTCGATCGATGGTTGCGGCTCACAAACCAGACTTTGTTCAGAACCGACTTAAAGCCCCCAAGTCTACACATAAATATAATATTATCCCTGACGAGTTTTTACCTAATTTATAAGGGTTTCTGTCATTGTTAGGTAGAAGACCGCGCTTTTGTTTTCCACAATTTTCTTATTGTTTTGGGGAGAAGATCAAAACTTCTTCCATAGCTTTGTATTGGAACCCTAGTTTATTATTTATGCATTTCATTCAGTCTTTTGTTATTGATTGCTTGATAATTTCTGGGTAGTTTCATCTTGTTAGATTTAGGGTTCTATGTGGTATTGATGGATTAGTCCAAAACTGAAATCTATTGATTAGAATATTCCTAATGCATGTGATTTAAAGTAGCTAACTAAATCGTGAACTTAGGACATAGATGACTACGGCAGTAAGTTTTTTTCCAGAATCATATTATGATTGAGCTAGGATTGCTAGATACAAGCGACAGCTGTTCGACCAATTTTACTGGATTTTCAACTCGTCATAACCGTCGATCGATATTGGTGTTCCACCATCGATTAACAGTCATATATGTAGGCGATTCCTAGCGTATTAGATTTTCTTGCACCCTATATATTATAATTCGTGTGCATAAACCCCTAGATCTAGATATTTTTCATACTTGCACTAATTTAAATCCAACCAATTTTCTTTTGACTTAAACCTGAAAACCTGTATAATAATTTCACCTAGCTTAACCATTAGAATTTTACAAATTTATTATGTGACTTCGCTCTCTGTGGATTTGATCTCGTACTTCAATTGATCTCGTACTTCAATTGATCTCTCTTGACAAGAGTAGTTTTAGAATTGGAGTTAGTTGTTATCATTTTGTTTTAGTAGTTATCTTGTTGAGTCTCTAGGCTCAAGTGTTGTTAGGAGTTATCTTGATTTATTAGTTAAGTTTCGGATTTATCTATTCACGTCGTAGGCTATATAAAGCCAGATGCTTTCAATGAATAAACAGAGGTTTTAAGTTTAAATTGCAGAGCTTTATTCTTTACAACATGCATATTTATTTTGTTCTTCAAGGTCAATGTGATCTCACGTGCGTCTCGGCAACAATCAATGATTGAATGGAGTTTCCTAATTTAGAAGGAAATAAACGATCATATCGCAAGTTTGCTCTAGGCTCACGACTATGTTGTTTTCGGTTAGAATAAACACATCCATAACCGTCCCGGTTAACTTACTGGTCCAATAAAATGCTCTAAACCAGAACACTCCAACAAATGAAAAGCACAATCCTTGGCTAGCTTAAAGAAGCAATTTCGAACCGTTGATTCATTAGTCCCGGATCGCGATCCTCAGCCTTACAATGAAACTTAATCGAACGGCAACAATTTAGTAGTCTTCTTTATAAATCTCCTGCATCTCTGCTACTTCCATTCATAATCTGAATCTAATACTCAGTTATTTTTTTTGATTATAGAGAAAGTTTCCAAGAAAAATGTCAGCAAGAGGAAAGGGAGGAAAGGGATTGGGAAAAGGAAGAGCGAAGAGCGAAGAGACGCAAGAAAGTTCTGAGAGACAACATTCAAGGAATTACCAAGCCTGCGATCAGGCATCTTGCTCGCAGAGGAGGTGTGAAGCGAATCAGCGGTTTGATCTACGAAGAAACGAGAGGAGTTCTGAAGGTCTTTCTCGAGAATGTTATAAGAGACGCTGTGATGTATACTGAGCACGCGAGAAGGAAGACGCTGTGATGTATACTGAGCACACGAGAAGGAAGACGGTAACGGCTATGGATGTGGTTTATGCTTTGAAGAGGCAAGGACGTACACTCTATGGATTCGGTGGTTGAATCGTTTTAGATTTTGTTCTGTTGGTCGTGTGTTTAAGTCTTGCAGTAAAGAAATCTAGGTTTAATTGCAGTACTGTAACAAAGTTGTTATTTTTATGGGTTAATGAAAAACAGATTACTCAGATCTCTTTATTTTAATGACTTTCGCTTTAGGCTTTGACTATAGAATTGTGGCTGTAGAGATTTTGGCTTTAAAGGCTGTAACTGTTACTTTAGAGAAAGTTAAAAGCATGATTGGTACTCAAATCTTTAGAAGCTGTGACTGTTATAAATATATGTTTATAATTCATTTTTCAAAATGTATTACCTATTTTTTATTTATACAAGTTTATAAAATATATTGGGTAGCTTAAAAACAGAAAATCAATCAAATTTATCAACAATATATTTTATTTCTTTATTGTAAAAATTTGAAATTGTAATCAACAAAATTTTTTTATTAAACTTAAAATAAGATAATAATTTATTAAATAAATAAAAATTATTCAAAATTAAATTTAAAATAAAATTACAAGTTATTAAATAAAACAAAAAAATATTAAAAAATTAACGGGTTCTTTCCCATATGTTGTTTGCAATCTCATCTCGAACACCTTCCATATATTGTCTTGAACTGAGATCTTGGTCCATCGTATTTGGAAGTTCTTCTTCATTTATCGTTTGTTCATTTTCATTTTTTTATGATTGGAAGTCAGGATCCACAAGATTTGACTTGCGAATGAAGTTATGGAGAACCATGGTTGCCACCACAATTTGTCGCATTGTAGATATGTTATACCTTGCTTCATCTTTCACAATACGCCACTTTTTTTTCCATACTCCAAAAGTTATTTCAATCACTGATCGAAGTGATGAATGGCGTCGATTAAAGACTTCTCTGTAGTTTCTTTCTTCTATTTGATTATGGAACCGATTTAGGTGATACCGCTCTCCCCTATATGGACAAAAATTTAGTTCTAACAGATTAATAATCTATTAATAGTAAATTATGACTTTTTCTTAATGGTAAAACCTAATCTAACTAATGAAAATGAATACAGAAATCATATATATTTATTTTTTCTTTCACTTATTATACTTTTTGAATCTTTCGTAAATGTTTTCAATATTTATACAATATTTTTAGTTTTTAACAGATTAATAATCTATTAATAGTAAAGTATTACTTTTTTCTCAATGGTAAAACCTAATCTAACTAATGAAAATGAATTTAGAAATCATTGTATTTATTTTTTCTTTCACTTATTATACTTTTTGAGTATTTCGTAAATGTTTTCAATTGTTTATACAATATTTTTAGTTTTTAACAGATTAATAATCTATTAATAGTAAAGTATGACTTTTTCTTGATGGTAAAACCTAATTTAACTAATGAAAATGAATTTATAAATCATTGTATTTATTTTTTCTTTCAATTATTATATTTTTGAATCTTTCGTAAATGTTTTCAATTATTTATACAAAAAATTTTAGTCTTTAACAAATTAATAGTCTATTAATAGTAAGGTATGATTTTTTCTTGATGGTAAAATGTAACTAACTAATGAAAATGAATTTATATATCATTGTATTTATTTTTCTTTCAATTATTATACTTTTTGAATCTATCCTAGATGTTTTCA